ACAAACTCTGCAGTAAGAATTTATATACGAGTATTTTATTCTAATCCTGAGTGATTTCAAGAATTTTCTATTACGTTGGTTGCTGGTACAGCAATAATTTGTTGTTTTTTTATGGTTTCTCAGCTCAAAAAATTGCTTACTAAATTAAAAAAAAACTATAACTCTTGTACTAATAAACAAATAAATTAACACAAACTCTGCAGTAAGAATTTATATATTTTTTCTAATACTGAGTCATTTCAAGAATTTTCTATTACGTTGGACCAGCAATAGTTTGTTAGTTTTTTATGGTTTTTGATGGTTTCTCAGCTCCCTGTCTATGAAGCTCGCTCTCCGAGCCGAGAGAAGAGAGCTCTATGGATTTTGATTATCGGAAGAAAAATGCATTTCATGTCCAAAACAGATTACCTGCGGCTTTGATACCGAGATTTCCCATAAAATCATAAAATCCGTGAAAGGCGAAGCGATATTAAAAATCTTCCAGGAAAATAATATTATATAAGATACACCATAAAATGGAAAAATATAAAAAATTGCTAAAACAAAATATGTATATATTTATCCTGACTGTATTTTAAATTGTGTATCCTAGGCACTTGACTGTCCTGTTTTTATTTCCGAAATTCCTGTAACGATTTTCGCAATTTGCATAAACACATCTACGAGAAAAAAGGATTTAAAAGTTACTTCGGGCGTAAAAAAAACGCTGACAAGGTTTATTGCTGAGACACTTCTTTGTCTAGACGGGGCGCTGGTGAAAAAGTAAAAAAAAACTTTAATTTACAAGAGTATTCCTATCAGTTTTTGCTTTTTTGTAAGGGTAGTTAGAGTAATTGTTCAAAAAAAATTGTTAAAAAATATTTACGTTTTAAGTTCTGAACATTTCGGCTTACTTTAGAAAATAGGTAGGTGTCTGTGCAACGGTATGTGTGTGTGGATACAATGTTAAATTGTCGATTGCCGGAGAACGCATCAACGGATTTGAATGATTCAAAAAACATTCGATTTGTATTGAAGAGGATCTTTGATGATTAGTTTTTGAGAAAGGCAGGTCTAGCCGTTTTGGAGATACGGAGCAAAAACTGTAGAAACTTGTAATTTTGTTTTGAGAGAAATTGTATAGAAATTTTAATTTAGTTTGAAATTTGCAAGAGGGTAGTAGGGACAGTTAAAGTAATTGCCCTAAAAAAACATTTATAAAACATTTACGTTATAACTTCTGAACATTTTGGCTTAGTTTAGAAAATAGGTGTGTGTATGTGCAACGGTATTTGTGTGCGGATACAATCTTTCATTGTCGATTTTGTGAGAACGGATCAACCGATTTGAATGATTTAAAAAACATTCTAATCTTCTTGATGAGGATCTTTGCTGATCAGTTTTTGGCAAAGGCAAGTTCAGCCGTTTCGGAGATACGGAGCAAAAAGCCTGGAAACTGGCAATGCGGTTTTTGAGAGAACGGAACATCTGATTTGAATGATTTAAAAAACATTGTACTTGTATTGATAGAATAAATATTTGGTTAGATTTTTTGAAAGGCAGGTTCAGCGGTTTTGGAGGTATTGAAGAAAAACTAATACGAAAATCCTATTTGGAGGCCAAAATAGTCATCACAAATCTTCACGTTGACCTAATAATTAAATGAGCTGTATTTTTTCAAATTTTTGTTATGAATTTTTTCTTATTATTTTTACACCAGCTCTCCGTCTATCCACTGCATAGATATAAAGACGCTCTCTTACGACTGACGCTAGAAAAAAAGCTAAATCGACTGTTTTTGTATCGTATTTGCGTTTTTTTCGTTTGTTTTGTGGATTTATTGTACACCACAGATTTATAGCTATTACAGATACTTTTTGCCATCGTATAAACCAGTTGTACTATATATAGTACAGCATTTTTAATCACAATGCGCTTATTTAGTATAACGTGCATTTTTTTAATATAACTCATGTAACTTTCGAACCGTTGGTTTGTGGGAAACAAAATATTCAGGAAATTTATACAAAATTTATTTATCTATAATTTTGTCTAATAATATTACCCTAAAGCAACTCCCTATACTTTAAAATAGCTTTCAAACAATCTAAACCAGTGTTTCTCTTTCTCTAATGAATTATATTTCTGTTTCCCCCAATTCAATAAGTATAAATCAAACGGGGAAAGTAAAAAGAAAAAAACTTTTTCGTTTTAAAAAGGATGAGAAAGGATGTCTCAATAAGCAAACAAGACACAAAAAAAACTTTTTTTATTAGAAAGTAAATCCTCGGACGATCCGAAGGATATTTATGACGAGAGTTCTTCGTGACGGAGTTCGAAAATTTGTAGCAATTATTTTGAATTATTGATTTTTTGTACATATGTTGTGAGAAAGTTGTGGATTGTAAGTATAGTGTATAATAATAGATATATCAAGGTGTAAGGTATTGGAATTATAGGTTTGTGTGTTAATGCGTGTGGCCTGAGGAGCTCGTTGAACTTTAACATTTTTCTTGAAGGGCTCGACAATGTGTTGCTATTTTTGCCAGTTATTGATTTTTTTTTAAATATTTTTTCAGAGGGCTAGGAATTTTGAGTATGCAGTATTGTACTATACATACTTAAGTGCAATATTTTAAATTACAGCATTATACTTTCAGAATTATGTCCTGAGGAGCTCATGAAATCTTAATGTTTGTTTTGAGGGGTTCAGACTTTTGTAGTATATACGAGGTCTGTTCAAAAAGTACCCGGAATTTTCGTTTTTTCAAAAAAATATTTATTTATTCGTCTACATTAATGTGGTCCCCTTCAAAGTAGTCCCCCCCAGATATAATACACTTATGCCAGCGTTTTTTCCAATTTTCGAAGCACCCTTGATATTCACTTTTTGATATGTCCTTGAGCACTCTCAGCGATTCGGCCTTTATTTCTTCAATCGAGGAAAACCGCCGTCCTTTCATGGGTCTCTTCAACTTTGGGAATAGGAAAAAGTCACACGGAGCCATATCTGGTGAATTTTGGCACTTTGCAACACTTTATTTCATTTTTTACGCAAAATTTAATACAAATTCTTTGACTTTTCAATTCTTCCATTGTAAAAATCGCCGAGCTCAGAAAAACACGTCGAACCTTAGCGACTACCACAGACAAAGTAAACAGTGAATATAGCTGAAAATTTCATCATACTTTAGGGGCATTATACCAACCAACACAATAAAAAAAATTTTGACAATCAACACTCCAGACCCGCGAAATTTGATTATTAGTAATTCCGGGTACTTTTTGAACACACCACGTATATTGTCGATTATTATTTTTTTTTGTAAAAACTTTGCAAGGGAGCTGTAAATTTTGAGTATTCAGTATTATACTAGACATACTTTAGTATAATATATTAGAAGTAGAGCATTATACATTTTGAATTGCGCCCTGAGGAGTTTATAGAACCTAATAATTTATTTAGAGGGATTTGAAAATTTGTTGCAGCTATTGAGGATTATTGATTTTTGGGCAAATATTTTGTCATGTGGCTATGAATTTTGAGTATGCAGTATTATACTAGACACAATTTAGTGTGATATATTAGAAGTACAGCAATATATATGTCGAATTGTGCCCTGACGAGCTCATGGAATCTTACAATTTGTTTTGAGGAGGTTGAAATTTTGTTGCAATTACTGCGGATTATTGACTTTTTTTGCAAATATTTTGTAAAGGAGCTATAAATTTGGAGTAAACAAATTTATGCTAGAAATACTCACGAGTAGTATATTAAATTATAAACATTGAAGGACAAAAATTGTGCCCTGACAAGCTCATCAAACTTTAACATCCGATGTGATGACTCCTGAATTCGTCGCTAATATTGTGACCTACCATTTTTTTTCAATTATTTAGTGAGTGAGCTTTAAATTTTAAATATGCAGAATTATACTAGATATACTAAAGTATAGTATATTAAATTTGTAACATTATATAAAAAGTATTGTATTCTGTGGACTTCAAACAACCTAAAAATTTATTTTAATGAGTTCAAAAATGTGGTGCAATTTTCTTGAAGCATTATTATTACCCAAAAATTTTGTGAGGGAGCTATAAATTTTTAGTATGCAAATTTATACTAGATATACTGAAGTATACTATATTTAATTTTGAGCACTACAGCACAAATATTGTATACTGAAGAGCAAATCGAATTACAAATTTTATTATCAAGGGTTCCAAAATGTGTTGCATTTGTTGTGCATTATTTTTGCTCGTACACACATATTTAGTGAGGGAGCTGTGAATTTTGAGTACGTCAGTTCATATTCCATATACCTAACTATATTATGTAACGTTTTTAGCATTATCGAACAATTATTGTACACTAAGAAGCCAATCGAATTCCAAACTTCATTATCTAGGGTTCCAAAATTTGTGGCACTTTTTGTGCATTATAGCTCGTACCCAAATATTTAGTGAGAGAGCTATAAGTTTTG